ATAAACTTCATCATAATTAATGACCAACCACTGTCAGTTGTAGAAAACGAAGGATTTCACAGTTTGATACTTGCAGCCAAGATATAGTTTACCCTCCAGGAGATATTTATCAATACAACAGTAGACAATCATAAAAAACATGATTTGAAAATTATATTAAAAACAAACCCAGCTACATTATAAAGTGATGTAAAATACTAAAAACAGGAACATGTCTGTTGGTTTATGTCATGAACTTAGCAGATGTTTGAAGCCTTTTAACATTTTATTTTATTTAATTCATTTATTCATTCAGTTAAAAGAAACAAAATTTAAAAAAAATTCATCAAAAAGAAAACATTGAATGAAAAGAGTGCAGAAAGAAGAAAAAAAATATTATATCTGCCCCTTATTTAAAAAATATAAAATAAATTTAAACAATCACTTAAATTAATCACTTTAATATCCACTTTAAAACTAGGAATAAAAAGAGACATGTTTTGTGTTAGCAGAATTTAATTCTAACTTTAAAGCTAGGAATAAAAAGAAACATGTTTTGTGTTAGCAGAATTTAATTCTAACTTTAAAACTTATCCAACATTAATAAAACTTACCTCAAGTTGCCTTTTTGGACATACATGCACATATTTGTACAAACTGTACTTGAGAGGAGATTATTACAGCCTCATATAAAATCAATGATGATCATGATATCGGAACTGGATCGTATCGGCCGATATTCAGTCTTAGGTATCGCATCGGATCGGAAGTTTAAAAAAGTGGATCGGTGCATCCCTAGTATATATTTGTGTGTAATTAAACCTTATAATTAATCTAGCATTTCATGTCATGGGTATAGCAACTCTTATTTTAGAAAAATTACTGCAATATTCTGTTACAGTTTACACTATAGTTTTTAGTTACTTTAAAAATAAAAACACTAAGTGTTAAATAATGTTTTCTCTTTTACCTCCAGGAAAGCATCCACCAGTTACACTGTGTGTAGATGTGAGTTAGATTTTAATTAATAGTAATTGTTCTTACTCAGACTGACATCCCCATCATGAGAGAAGCTGTCCTTAAAGCTCTGATGATCTACCTGAACCTGTGAAGCATCTTTTGAAAGAACACCAGGTAACTGCACTAACACGAGCAACATCCACACACCTGTTGTGTTTGAAATGCAACATTGCACTGAATATTGTTACTTCTCCTTGTTATAGACTCCTTTTATTTTTGTCTATTGAATTTGGGTTCAAACTGAAGTAACATCATGCCAGAGTGGGAGAAACAAATAGATTTTTTGACGACTCTTTGATCTTTATCGTAGCACCTACATTCATTTGAACTGAGAACTCTTCTTGTTGTAATCCAGCTGTTAAACTGTCCAGAGTTTCAGAAAGTAAAGAGACTGTTCAGACTGTTGTGCTTTGGTAGTTCTCTGCACTCTTTTACTCTTTTAGTTGTCCTCATTTCTTTATGTTTGGTGTGTTTGCAGGATGTGCAGGAGAATGACCAACTGGAAACCATGGTGATCTTTGTCACTGGGAGAGAGGATCCTTTCCATCCACCCAAAAACATCAAGATAATCATCAAAGGAACACAGGTCCTGAATGAAGTGTCTTCTGTTGTTGAACAGATGTTGTCATGTTCTTCGGTCTCATATACTCAACCTAAAATATCACAAACAATCTACAGGACACTCTTGGTGTACAACACACTTGAAACACAAGGTGTTTTTCAAGCCAGGGGGCTGGACTTTCTCCACCCATATGTTTGAAAGTTATGGAACTGACCACAATTCCTATTGAAATAATTCTAACTGTATTATTTAGTAACATTTTCCCTTGACCATTCTGAAAAGGAGACATTAGCTGATTTTGTTTGAGGAAGAATATCTAATTGTCCTTTCACTTCATTTATGGATACATGTTGCAAAGTTGAGTTATTTGTAACTTCATGGAGTAAGTTCTTTGAATTTCAGAGTATTTAGTTTGTTTCTCTTCAGCAGGTTTGACAAGGACAAAATGTACCCATTCCAAAGTCTGTTAGCTAAACTTCAGACATATTTTGGCTGTTGTTTTTTCTTTTGTTACTTTTAGTACCGGGCAGCACAGTGGCACAACTGGTAGAGCTGCTGCCTCTCAGCGAGCAGGTCCCTGGTTCAAATCCCGGTCCGGGGGCCTTTCTGGGTGGAGTTTGCATGTTCTCTCCGTGCATGCGTGAGTTTTCTTTGGGTACTCCAGTTTCCTCCCACAGATCAAAAACATGCATGTTAGGCTGATTGGTAACTCTAAATTGTCTCTAGGTGTGAGTGAGAGAGTGAATGGTTGTTTGTCTCGTTTGTCTCTATGTGTCCCTGTGATGGACTGGAGACCTGTCCAGGGTGTACCCCGTCCCTCGCACAGTGATTGCCGGACATGGACAGTTTGGATGGAGGCCTGCAGCAACTCCAATGTAAACTCTGGACTTTTCTCGAGCACCACACAGCGCCGCTCCTCTACAATTCACTCTGCTTCTCTGCACTTCACCTCCGCACCCGACAGCACGAGAGGCCACCCCCGGTGAAAAACGACAAGACTGACCGGAGAGGCTGAAGTCGTCACTGGTCCGGTCCAGTTCTGCTCCAGTCCAGCTCCGGCGCTCCACAGCATGAGAGGCTACTAACTCCGATGAACAATGATGAGACTGACTGAAGGGGCTGAAGTCGTCTCTGGCACGGTTCTGCTCCGGTTCCAGCTGTGCTTCAAAGCATCAGAGCGTTTCCTCCAGGCGAACACTGCAATTCCCACGGAGGTGGACAGTCCTTCATTTTAAAGTTAACGGGATGCTCACTGAGGCCTAGACCAGCTCTATTGAAGACAAAGTCCCCCAGAGCAACTCGGTTCGGTTCTAGTCCTGTTTGGAGGACACAGGTACACTTCCCCACACCGAATGAAGACACCACGAGGGCCAGTCCAGCAGAAAGCCAGCTAAAAAGCCAGCAAAATACCACCCAGTGATTCTTGTCGGAACCAGGTAGAACCATAAAAGGTCCAGATGAGAAGTTTGTTGGGGTCCAGAGAGAGAGCAAAAAAAATACCGGACCTTCATGCGATGACTCTCCTGGAGGGGTCAGGGTGGCTGGCAGGGTGTGCTCAGAGTGACCGGTGGGGTGGGAGCGGCCGGTCCTGGACCAAAATAATTTTTTGGGACGGTCCTGTCCGGCTCTGAGTCACTGAACACTGAATTCGGTTGGAAGGGGAACCAACTTTGTCCAGTTCGAAAAACGGGTCAGTTTGATGATAAAAGACTGCAGAGAAGTCGGGGGGAGAGCTGCCGTCCATCAGCTTACCGGAACCGGAATTTTCAAAAGTTATATTTTATTTAGAAGGACTTCCTGACCGTCTCTCAGTAGCTTCCTGCCACTGACTAAAATTTTCCTTTGACAGAGCTGGGCGCTTTAGGCTCCCAGCACCCCGCCCCTCATCGGGGCAGGCGTTTGTGACACAGAGAGAATGCCCTCAGGTAATCAGATGTACGACTCTTGCTCAAGGTTTCAAATACCCAACCATAACTCCACCCACTCTGTCATCATGTGACCAGAAGTCTAACCTGAATGACCAAAGAGGTACTGTTCCATCCCAACAAGATAGACGTGCATTAATTTCTTCAGATCGTTCCCGTGTTGTTACCGGATTTTGCGCTTCGTACACAGACCTGTTCATTTGTTCAGTGATAATGGAAAATGCACAAAGAATTTCTTATGATGCAACTTTAATGTTAAAAGCGATCGGCTGAAGAGGAGGAAACAGAGCTGCAGCCCGTAAGCTGCATCAGCATGTTGATGATCAGGATCAGAGACACAAAAGCAGTCCAGTCTGGTACATGTTTTAATAAAAAAATTAAAATTCTTTCTATGTGACAACTTTCTGTGCCAGCAAATATGCATTTATATACCGGGATCTCATTTTAAAGTCACATTTGAACACGAAGGGGAGAAACAGAAAGGAGTCTTTCCCCCTCCCCTTTCCGTCCATGAGAGCACAGCGGTGGAGAAGTCGTCAGATTTATTTTTAAAGCAGTCAGTCAAGACTGGTACATATTTAAATAAAAGTTTTAAAAAACACCTTTCTGAGTACAGTAAACATGGGTATGTGTTTAAATACCAGTATCTCATTTACAGGGTCAGGGTCATTAAACAGAGCAGAGACAACAAGAGAAAACAACCAGGGAGGGAGGGGCTATTCCTCTGAGCTTAGCTGAGGAGAATCACGACAAATTTATTTAGAAAGTACATTTAAAAACAGCAGGCGTTAACAAAGGTGTTTAATAAATCATTCAATAAAACCAATAAAAATCAATGGTACTAATTTAATGAATATTTACCACATTCTACCAGCACTTATTTGACTTCCGGTCACATGACCTAGATAAGACTGTGTTTTACCGGCAAATAATTTTTGTTTATGTTTAATTTTTACGTAGGTGATTGGTGCTGTTCTGTCCAATTATGCTTAGTAATTGTGTTCATCTTGAAGGTATAATGGTTGTAACCATGAGTCAGACAGCCAAGTTTCATGGGGACTCATGATCTTTGAGTCTGAACGTGTGTTGAAAGTGATCTATAGTCTGTGAATCTCCATCTGCTGATTCTTCTACTACAACAAGAAAGCTGCAGACAGTCGGAGCAGACTCGGGGCACAGATTCTGACCATGAATGGTGGATGCCCACAGCTAAATAACTGGAGTGTCTTATTTAAGTACAAAATTATGATTTATCTTATATTCAATAAGTGCGGCTTAGAGACAGGTGCATTCTAAAGTCTAATTACGATATGCCTTTAAAGTAATTCAAACAATTAAAAGGTTTCTATGAAAATCACTAAATTAGCTACATACCAAGTTCTATTTGAGTATGACTTCATCTTTAGTGTATTGTTCACTTGATAAGAGATTTTTTTTAGATTAAGATTATTCCTGAACAGGTTTTGAATGATATGCTTAGTGAGCTGGACCTTATTTAGACACAGGATATTTACCTGTATGCCAGTTGGCCGACAGATGGCCTGTCCTAGAATGCTGAAGACAGCGTCTTTGTCTTCTTGGCTGGTGGTTGCAGGCAACAGCTCCTCAATGTCTGCCTTTTCTTCTGCAAGTAGAGGCAATCCCTCTCCTTGGCTGGAAGAAAACAGAACATCAGAATATTGGTCCTGACAGAACACCATTTGAAAGGGTGGTGGGTCATAAGACGGCATGTGTACTAACCTGGCATTGTCCACCACCTTCCGTCCCCAGCGATAAGCCCAGCTGGCCAAAGATGCCCAGGACTTGGCCAGTTCTGGCGCCAGGCTAGTTGAGAGCTGATAGAGTTGGCCCAAAACAAAGTCTGGCTCCCCAACACCCACATTCACTGTAAGACCACATAAATCTAAATGTAATCAGGCAGTCTTAGTCCGTACCAGTTTTAACATATTACAAATGCACAAAGTAATGTTTGAAATGGTTCTGTGTAACTATTACTCTTGTTTTGTTGTTCTTAAGAGATTGTATAAAAGCAGAAGACTTATGTTAATCCTACACCACAGATGTTACCTGAAGTCTCTGCGGTGATGAGGGTGTTGCCCTGGTCCTCCACAGGAAGCTCCAGCAGAGCAGCAATGTTCCGGCTCAGAGGTGACATGTTGCTCACAGCTCCTGATTTCTTCATCACCTACAACAAAAACATCATTTAAGAATCAATAATACAGAAAACAGACTGTTGCATTTTAAAGTAAGAAAAGGCCAAAAGAGATGGAAACGTATTAAACCAGAACTCCTTTGACAAGATGAGAAGCATCAGTTCTATACAATGAGATATCCTGATGCATGCTCAATAATCCAGGTAGAAAAATCTAAAAAAGTTAAATCTGCTCCTCTGGACATTCAAAAAACAAAACAAAGCAAAACAACAAAAAAATGTAGAAACGTTTCATCTCTCATCCTGAGGACTTCCTCAGTCTGAGGAGCTGTATTCAGCTCAGTCTCTTAAATAGCACCTTCTCAGAGTGGATCAACCAGTTTTGCTGCTGACAACCAAAACCAGCTGATCACATG